CGATCCCTAGCTTTGGATTGAGTGAAGGAATCACATCCATGAAGAAAACATATGCACGAAAAGTGGTGCATCGAATCATGTCCACATCTGTTCATATACGCCATGATGACGGCAAGGTTCAAGTAGAACTTCACCCATGGCGTCTGTCCCTGTCCCATCGTCGGTCACCTTGGTATCCATCCCACCGTTGACCATAGGTTTCTTGGGCTTTGCCTTTGCTTTTGCGTCAGCGTAGATCTGATCTGCCTCAGCCGCTTCCTCGGATGTCACTGCTTGGTCAAGGATACTGCTTTGTCCAGGAGGTAGCAATCTACCGCCAGGAATATGTTGAAGAGCTGTTCCTTGGTAAAGGCTTTGCGGTCCACGTTGACGAGCCTTCGTTAACCTGGCAGTGTACTTCGCCTGGATAGGGATAATCAAGTCGACCATCATCGTCACGAGCTGGATAGAACAATCCTTCACAGTGTAGAGTTGGCAGATTCCGAAGGGATCAATGCAAAGGATGTAGTTGGGAGTGTTGTTGGCACGTGGTGCAAGCACTGTGTACCGTCGATAGCCTCCAACTCTGGCGACAAGCTTGGACAAGAGTAATGCGCAGCTGGAGTGTACCATTCTCGTGTCCACTGTTTGTCCTTCACGCATGTGGTTCTCGACCTTGAAGTGTTGTCGTTGGTAACCAAGTTGTACTGCTTCGCGAGCAAGTTGAGAGACGATCTGATGTGTTCTGAATCGTTCGAGAGTGTGATCTCCCGTTGGATCGTCTTCTTGTTTGCGACTTCTTCCGAACTCAAGTATTTCATCGTCCGTGACCATGCGAGGAACTCCTGTTTCTGGGTCGATTGTGGACAAAGTCCCCCAATCTCCAAGGGCATCATGACGCTTGCCTTGTGCAAAAGCTTCACGGGCGGTTTCAACAAGCGGAAGTTCCAACCAGTTTGTGTACGCCGGCCAATACTTGTACATCAAATGTACGATCAGGTAGGCCATGTACTGTGCATAGTCAATGGAAGGACCGATGAGATGGGCAGGTTCCATGAGATTATGGATCGATACCCTAAAACCCCGTCGGTAGTGAGCAAGCTCTTGATCAACATGAAGGTCAGTGTCACATAGTTTAGTAGCACTGGCAGTCGCGATTGTACTTCTTGCGTGTGTTGCTGTCCAGCTTCTTCATCTCCTTCGTCAATGTCAATCTCTCCTTCAGGTTCTGCAACAGTGTGTGTGTGTGTGTCATCAATGCCCATATCAGCGTCACCATCGTTGTCGACTTCTGGCTGAGGTTCCTCTTCCATCGGCACATCGTCGTCCACAGGAATAACATCCGCTGCTTCTCGAGCACGAGCGATTGCTTCGCGAGGAATTTCCATCGGGGCGTCCGCACGACTTTCGACGCGTTGATATTTTCCATGAGCGATGAAGGCAGAGAAGCACAATGCGCATCTTGATAAGCACGACGGGGTGTGACTGAGACACCATGGGCAGATTCTGAATCTGAGATTTCGGTCTCTGCTTGTTCTTGCTTCCGAAGGAGGTGGCGTGTGGATGATCAGAAATTCAACAGCGTCGGAGAAGATGTCTTCGTACACTTTCCAATCTGTCTGAGACCAGTCGACATCAAAGTGTTCAGACAATCGAGAAGTGATGTCCGCTTTTGTAGCTTCATGAGGCCCACTTGGTAGATCGCATAGCAAGTCCAAGATTTTCTCACGTTGCGACGCGCACGCACTTCCTTTGCCGTTGCTTTCAATGGTCTTGCGATATCAGTGCAAATTTCATCCTCCAGCTCGTAATCCAAGATTTTCTCCACTTCCTCAAAGCCGTAGGATTGGTTGTTCCCAGGAATGCACATCCACATTTCTTTCACCATGTAGAACGGCACGGTCCTGTCACACATGATAGCGCCACTTTCCGTCACCTTGCCTCCTTCTCTGATCAAATCAAGGATTGGGATATACAGAGTCACTTTAGGTGTCCTCTGATCCGCCCTCGACCTGTTGCGAGTGACCTTGTTTCTCGGGTCCCAAGGTGGAAACACTCCCCAGTAGCTGTGCAATCTTCCTGAAGCCCTGTGTTGCCCAATCATGTCGCTGCCGGTCTTGATGCCTTCAGTCATGATCGTGTGCAAGTTGTAGATCTCGGTCGCATGATACGCTCCTTGAGTTTGGTTCAGAAGCGACATTGATGCAGACAATGCGAACTTTGAAGGGTCAAGCTCCATGGCCGTAGACTTGGAGCGTGTGTGTCCGGTTGATGCTCGGATTGCCCATGGCTTGATCCAATTTCCAGTCTGTTGGAGACGTTCAACATTCAGGTGTTGAGTGTCTGGATTGCGTTGAAGCTCTCGGTAGTGCGTCTCCATGTCGACGATCCTGCGTGAGAACGCTGGCTCGCCAGCCCTTACACCTTCCGGATTGGGGCTTGGCGCCAACCTGATTCCCAAGAACTGTAAACGAAGCTTCTTGTCACCGCCTCGGAAATTGATGTAGTTCCCGTCGATGAGCAGCTGTAATCGTTTCTGCAGTTCCCGTCTGCGAGCATCAGGATCCGTCCTTGACAATGCATAACCGATCTGTCGTTCACGGTGACACCAAAGAAGTTCATAAGATAGCAGCCAGTCCAGTTTTACCCAACCACCCTCATCGCACTTTATCGTCGAAATCGGCGAACGACAGCGCTTGTCCAAGAAGATCGCCTGGTCTTCTCGTCCAATGTGGTGTCTGAGGTCTTTCGCAGGAATCTGAGCGCTTGCTTCGCCGCTTCTCTCGCATGCCAAAAGTATTCCCTCGGCGGTTTTGCGAAGATGATGTTCTCCCAAGCTGGATGGCAAAACTGCACTCTGGTGGGAGTTTCTCAAGAATGCCACCGTAGACGCTCTCGGCGATGTGAACATAGGCTGCATTCTCAAATCCAGATTGCCTACGTTCGTAAATGGGTGGAGCACCGCGTTGAGGAATGGAGATGTCTCGTGGTGATGCGCTCGTCTGAATGCAGTCGAGGACCTCATCATGGCTGCTGAGTCCCATGTCGGAGATGTCCTCGCCACACACGAAGTTATAGTCTCCTCTCCTGCGCTGCACAACTCGACACAAATTCTTTCCATTCTCATACCGTGTGATGAAGATACCACCAGGATGATTGATTTCCCGCTGCCTTGGCTGTGCCTTAGCTTTTGGTCTTCTGCCGGAAGAAGCGACACTCTCCACATCCATGTTGTCGTTGGATCCTGACGCTCTCTCTCCACGAAGTGGTCGAGGAGCCGGAGAAGAACCTGGGAATGTCAGTGTACCGGGGCGCGCCTCGATCGCTTTCTTGACATGGTCAAGCACACCTGTAATCTGTTGGCGAAGTTGATCGTCGGCGCCACATTGTGCGAACACATGGTTAAGGCGGTTAAGGCTTCCACACAAAATGCATATCTTCCCCGCAGTGTTCTCGTTCACCCAAATATCACCAGTGAACAATTGTCCAAGGGCATCCCACGCTCTGGCTTTGATGGCGTTGGCAACGTCAACATCTCGTGACTCTTCGAGAATTTCAATCTCTTCTTCTGGTTGTCCATCAGGTTCCATTTCTTCATCTTGTACGAGACGAGGTACATCGACGCTCTGTGGGGAGTCATTAGGAGCATCATCTGATGAGCGCGCCTCAGTTCCGATTACCCCCGGAACGGGTTGTAAATCGGCAGAGGTTGGCGCGGCAATGAAGCGACTCGTTGGCAAGACACTGAGGATATCTTGCACATCCTTCTCAATCTCTGGATCAGCCTTTGCTGGCTTTCGCTTTCTTGGAGGCCCTGACGCAATTAGTGCAATGCTCTCCCTGGCAGAATACCTGGCGAAGCACCTTTCCAACCCATTGATGCAGGCATTGACGGTTTCGACGTCACCCCACCGATCGAATAGTCCAGGCCATCGGAGCGCAAATGTAAGCATGCCCAATGCAAGCTCGAACACATCCCCAAGAAGCTCTTCTCGTGGGTTTCCGCTCCCTTTGAACAGCTCGATCCTTTCTTGCGGAGACAACAAAGTCTTGATGAAACCAGCATATGCGGCATTTCCGGCATCATAGTACGCGATGTAGCAAAGGTTCCCTGGTCCATCATATGCCCGATCCCATGTAAGCTGTTTTGCTTTTCCCCACGCTGGAAAATCCAATGCCTGTGCCGGCGTGCACCTTATCCCTCCATAGGAAGAGACAATCTTTGCCACCTGTTTGTAGACGATTGGACAACATCTGCGGAGGAACTCCATCAGATCGTTGGCTGGGTCATGGTCCTGTAGATCGTTCGAGTAAATGTTGTATGCACATGCAAGCGCGCACAACTCGGAATCCCTGAGCTCACCATAGGAGTTTGAATATCGTGAGATATTGAGAGAAGGAGGAGATAATTATAAGTAATGAGGTTTCATATTCAGAGAAGGAGGAGATAATTACAGGTTGAAGTTTCATATTGAGAGAAGGAGGAGACAATTATAAGTAATGAGAGATAATTATAAGTAATGAGGTTTCGACAACATGCCCATGCGACACACATGCTTTCCCCATGCTGGCCTTGCTCATGCTCTCAGCAGAACTCAGCTCATCCCAATCAAACCATGAGTTTGATCGCTTGCTCAGCTCATTCTCTTCGGCAGCATCGAGCTCATCCCAATCGAAAAATGCACAGCTTTTGCTGTGCTCACGCTGTCGCACGAGTCGTCGCTCCTTCTTCGCATGCGTTTTGAATGCCTTTCTCATGATGCTGCGAATCTGAAAGTTTTAAACCAATTTTTAAGGTTCCCTTGAATCACCGGATCGCTCTTTGACTTTTCCACAGACGGCGGTGGGCTGTCTACGGTCTCATTGAGCCTACCTTGAGCCTTGATGTAACGGAGTGAAACATTGTGAATTATACTCCCGAAGGGGGTTCACAGAAAATTGAAATGTTTGTTACGCCCTCTTCGATTCAAGTCCTTTCTTGAACTGACTCGAACTTTCAAACATTCATCTACAGTCCACTTTCACATTTGTCGCATGCTCCTTCGAGCAATTTCAACTCTTTCCGCATGCTCCATAGAGCCTTTTCCTTTCTTTCATCTTCTCTTCATCTTCTGGCTCTTCGTGTCCTGTAAAACGGTTGTGAAACTAACAAGGCGCACTCACTGTCTCCAAAACTACACTGCGCGCTCACTTCTTTTTCTTCGCGGGAGGTACTCGCGGTTCGGGCTGTAGTGAAAACGTCCATTGCTTGGACTTTGCGGTCTTTGAACCAACAACGATATTGGTTCCCAAAAGTAAAGCCTTTTCAGCTTTTCGTGGTGCTCGTAGTGCCATTTGTCGTATAGCACATAGCCTTTGGCATTGAAGCTTTTGGCGATTCTGGATTCGCCCTCTGGGTCCCTTACCAGACCTTCTTGGCTCACCTTTATCGCATGTTGCCTTCGCAACTCATCTCTTGTGAAACATTTCTGCTTGGCCGATGGCCTCACCGTTTTCACCTGCTCCTTCATAGTGAAAACATTCTGTACAAACTTCGCTCTCATAACATCTCTCTTGTCTTTTGGGCAATTTCTCGCCCTCTGGGTTCTTTAATCTCATGACGTGTCCGCCACATCCTTTTCTGAATAACCCTTCTCCGGGCTCTCGGCCCTTCTCTCTCTTTCTTTCTTGTCTTTCTTGTGCTTCTTGTCTTTCTGCTCCTTTTTCTCTTTCTTTTCCTTATCCTTGCTTTCTTTCGTTTTCTTTGGCATCTTCTTTTCCTCTGCTCGAGGTCGCTCTTCTCCCCATTTGGGATTGAGAATGACTTTACCTTCCGGCGTTGCGAAGATATTCGGCTTGGCACTTGAACTTGAGCCGGTAGAGCTCTTCGGCTCTCTTTCTTTCTCTTCTTCAGCTTCAACATCTATCACTCTTTCATCCCCTTTGGCTTTCTTGACTTTCGGCTTTTCCGGCTTTTCCGGCCTGCTAGGATCGATACCGGTCGTGTTCAGCCGGCATTTCTGGACGGTATGGTTTCCCCATCCGACTGCGATCCTTTTCTTTCCTAACTCCGGGTCGAAGACATTGAAGCCTTTGCCATCTTTGTGACACAGCTTGCAGAAAAGCCATGCCCCTGCTTGCCGCTTTATTTCCGTAGAAATCATCTCCGCTCCAACCTCATCAACTTCCTTAAGCATATGCGGGCACTCAAACGCCCTGTGAGCGTCCGAGCCACAATGGAAGCATCGCCCTGTCTTGTATTCTCTTGTCAGCCATTTATCATGAACTCCTTCAAGCTCTCGTTTTCTTTCCTTTCTCGATGGCTGCGGGCTTTCAATCTTTTTCTCCTTTTCTTCCTTTTCTTTCAGGATTGTTGGAGCTGTCTTAGCCTTCGCTTCAGGTTTTGGCTTTGGCGGGAACTTAGGCTCATTTGGCCTGTCTGTCCCACGGGTTCGCTTTCTCTGGCTTTCATCTTCGCTTGGAGCACTTCGTGGGGTTTCCGCACTTCGCGGGGTTTCCATTCCGCTCTTTCTCTTTCGCATCATCATACGTAGCATCTGCAACTGCACATTTTCTTTCTTTTCTTCATCTTGAAACAAGTTCTTCTTTACTTCTTCGTTTGTGCTTGTCACAGTGCGTAGCTGCTTTGTTGTGCTCTGTAGCATTTCAAGCACTCGTTGCGACACTTGCAACGTCTCCCTGACTGCTTGACGGCCTGCCTTCAACTTCTCTCCTTCTGCTTCTATGTTCTTCACGATCTCGTCGTACTCTTCGATTTCCTTTTCGGCTGCTTTTATGTCTTGCTCTGCCTCTAGCTTCTTGAGCTCGGCCTCGGCTTTCCGAGTAAGCACAATATCTCTTGCGTCTTTTGCCCCGTCACCTTTGATAAGGTTTGTTTCCACTTCTTCTTCTTCCGTTGCATCTACCGTTTCTAGTAGATCGGTCGTCCACTTTTCGAAGTCAGCGCTGAGTCGCTCTAAGTGGTTGCCGTAGCCTCTTGGTAGTTGATCCACCTTGCTCTCCAGCATTTGCAAGGCTGAGCGGATGCTTTCTTTCTTGTCTTCCTCCAATAGCATCTCTATAGCACTGTCGGACAACCTGTACGTCTCACGGCATACATCTGCTATCGACATTCCGAGGTCTGTCTCTTCCTCAGGCTCCATTCCATCTTGCACTTCTGCGCCTTTGGACTCTTCTGGGTTTTCAGCTTCTTTGGACTCTTCTGCCTTTTCGGCCTCTTTGGATTCTTCTGCCCTTTCGGCACCTTTGGGTTCCTCTGACCTTTCGGCAGCTTTGGATTTTTCTGCTCTTTCAGCTTCTCTTTCATTCTTTTCATCCTTTTTCTCTGACTCATCTGAACTTCCACTGCCTTCGCTAGGCACACTAGCCTGGGCTTTCACAGCCTCCTTTGCGATATTGCACCTTCTCGTTTGCGCTGCTGCTTGTAACTCTAGAAGTTCACCTTCGCGTCTCTCCATCTGCTGAGCTTGCGGATCAGCCTCCTGCTGCTGTAGTTGTTCTGCCATGTTTTCATCCGCTTTGACCTGCAAAAGTCTTTTCTTCAGCTCATCCTTCCTTTTTTCTGCATCCTCCTCTGGCTTCCCAGAACCAGAAGCTCTTGCTCCTTCGCCTCTATCGTCGTCACTGTCACTGCTCGACGTAGGGTCACTTCCTGCCTCGTCATCATTTGGCTTTTTCTCTGGTGTCTCTGCGTCTTGGCGTTGCTTGTTCAACTCCTTGATGACTGCCTTCAGCTTTGTTGGACACTCGAACTGTTCTCGGCTTATTTCCTTAAGCCACCGCTCCATAGCGGTCGTTGCTTCTATCGATCTGCATTCTTCTCGTATCAGCCGCTTGATCTCATTCTCGTAGTTCTCTAAGGTCCATTCTCCGCTTGTTGCAAACTGCAGCACCTTTTCTCCTTCTCCACTCATTCTTCTTCTTCTTTTCTTTTCTTTCCTCCTTTCTTTTTCTTGTCTTTCTCTCTTCTTCTTTCCAACCTTTTCTTCAACCCTGCTATTGAGCAAAACAGCTGCGGTACACAAGGTTCTGCATATGCACATGAACAATATTCCGGCCATCGCAATCATGCACATACTCGGTCCTGCCCTTTGCTCATCTTCTGCACTTCTTTCGTCTGTTCCTTCGTGAGCTTCTCCAAGACCAATCAACACAGCCATTGTGACTGCTTGGATGATTCTTTGCAGCTTTCCTTCGTCAACTCTTCTCCTTCCTTGTGCCATTCTCACATTAGCTTCACCTGTGTCAACTGCTTCACCTTCATCAAGATAGTCACCGATATACCCAATCGTCAACATATACTTTCGAATCTTGTCTCTTGTCATCGACTTGTTCCCAAATCAGCTGGGTTGTCTTTCCTTTGTTCGGCTTTATCTTGAGGTCATCTATTCGCTGGATCCACAACACATCAACATCCAGATGTCTGGCCTTGCCTAGACCTTTTCTGGCAATCAGCTGTCTCGAACTGCTCGAGTCCGAGTATAACACCATCTTTGGTTCCTTTCCAAG